GGTGCTACCAGAAGGAACGAGGGAGCAAGGAAAAGTGCAGGCACGCGGCAGTCCACCACTTACTGAGTTTAACGCCATCCTGACTTCGTCAGCAGCATCAGGTAACGGGAGGTATTTGGGACGTTCAAGATGACCTAGAAGAAAGGATGACAAGACTGTGATCTTTCCATACCAGTCAGTTTCCAGATCAGTTGAGAAAGAACTAGAAAACTGTCCAGGTGAGAGCTCCCTCTCTCCAGAACAGACCGCCGAGTCCTCCCCACAGCTGCCACTGCAGGAGCCCGGGGCTGCAGCTCCCGCCAGCCAGGAGGCCAGCCCGGCGAGGCGACCTCCACCCACAGGACAATCCAGGGACTAGAAACACACAAGGTGGCTCGGCCTCAAGTGCAGCAGAGGCGACAGGTGGGCACACACCTGGAGTCAACTCCTGGCAGGTCCACTCCCTGGGCCAAAAGTAAATCTCTCTAAACCTCAGGCCGAGGGGACACAGTCACCGGGCAGTGCCGGGCACCGAGTGACAGCGGGCATCCATCTATCAGACGCGACCTGGCTCGCACCTGCAGAGAGAGAGCACCCAGCAGCACGAGGAAGCAGCCCACACCTGAGCAGGTGGCCTAGAACGTAGTACCGAGGAGAGGCCACACCTGGCTTCTTCACTAAGCCATATGGAATCTTCCATTTCTTAATAAACACCCATGTAAAAAAAATGTGTACGCACATGTAAAAAAAATCTGTGAAACACATCCACACCCACCCACTCCTCCGTTGACTAGCCTAAGTCCTGAAAGGAAATTCAGAAGTCATCTTCTGGGTGGTTTCTAATGAAAAGGAGGCTCTGGGTCACTTGTCTGCTGTCTGTGAGGCGCTCATAATAATCGCTAGAAAGACCGTCAACACAGAAAGCTCTGTTGGAAAGCCCCTCTGACCTCACTCTCCCTCCTGTGGGCAAATGAGGGTTTTTACCCGCCCTCCCCTGCTTTCTGGCAACGACCAAAGAATGCTTCAAGGAATGGCCTTTGCCATCATGCGTACACAGACGTGTTCCCAGTGAGAAAGCTCTGGGCTTCCAGGCTGGGACCAGGTCCGGAGATGTTCCATCTGTACCGTGCCCGGCACACAGTAGGTGCTCAACAGCAGCAGGCAGCACGGCAGGTGGGTAAGCCCAGGACCTCTGGGGCCAGCTTCTGGGTCCTGACCCCAGCTCGGTCTTTCACAGGCTGTGACCTGGGACAAGTCAGTTAACGCTTCTTTGCCTCAGTTTCCCCATCTGCAAAAGGAGGTACAGTAACGCCCACTCCAGGGTCGTCGGGGAATGAGATGAGTTGATGCTAGTGACGCTCTCAGTGCCTGGCACACAGTGAGTGCTGCATACATTTCTGTTTTAAATAAAAGCGATTGCAAGGCTGATAAATGTTGAGCAGCCAGTTGGGGGGAGCGGGGCGCGCTCAGCATGGCATTTGCAGATTTGCCTCTGGTAAGCTACGGGCATGAAACCCACCAGCTCTGAACACACAGGGAGGAGGAGGAACAGAGCCTACTCCAGCACACCGCTGCCCTGCTGTCTCCTGAGCAGAATTGCCACCTGACTCATGAATCTAACAACAACAGCACGCTCTGAATAAAACAGGAGGGTGGATTTTTAATCTTGGGGAAACCTTGTTGACTAGGTCCCCCCAAATGCACCAGATTGTCTATCTACTCTTCCTGTCAGGATAAAACCTAAGAACCAGGTCACGTTGATAGCGCTGAGGCTTTTTTAAGATTAAAAAGAAGTCAACAGCTTTCCAGGTAAGAGACAAGAGAACTGTTCTATACACAGGGGGAGGGATCTGCATTTAGGGTACATATGACATTTAAGCCTTTAAATGCGCGATTATCACATATTCATATACCTTCCCTGTCTGTGCCCCGTGAGGCAAACGCCTTCTAAAACGACATCCGCTCAGTCAACTCCACTCCCCTCTAGTCTAAGCTGGACTAAACTCGTCACCTTCCTGAGATTAATTTGAACAGAGTCCGGCTGAGCGGGCGTTCTCACCCCTCAGGTCGCTCGGCTCCCTGCGGCGACCTCGGTGGGGGTGTGGGGGGGGCCTCTGAGCCAGCTCCCCAGTTACAGGTGTGGATGAAGTTTCAGGAAATGAACATTCGATCCACTGGCGGCTTTCCCAGGTGAGGAGCCCTCTGAAAGGAGTGAGGCATCGATGCTCAAAATCCAGGCTTCCTATTCATTCCAGATCCCTAACAGTGAGACGAGGAGGCCAGAGAGGAAGCGCGGGGAGCCACGGCCATGAATGGTCCACTAAGAGCCCAGGGACCCAGAACGAATGCAGCGTGTCCCGTCTCATCCAGCCACCCATGGCCCACAAAGCCTCAGAACCGAAAGCACCCAGTGTGCCCAGATCAGCTCCCCGACTTTGGAGTAGAAGACGAGGGTCGCGATGCCTAGGATCTCCTCTGGCCCAGAAGAAGGGACGAGGATTTTCCCAGTGGAACGGGGTCTGGAAGGAAACCCGCAGATCACCTTCGGTCCCGCTCCTCTTCAAACGGCAAGTCCGAGCGCGCCCACGCGGGATAGCGAGTCTGTTTTCTGAAAGTAGCCAGGCAACCTGGAGACGGCACTGTGCCACCAACGGCCTCTCGTGCCCTTTAAAGGACACCGACGATTGTTCTTCCCTCTGAACACCAGCCACAATGAAGCACTTTTCCTTTAAGTGACAAAAAAGCAAATGTGCCTCCGAGCTCCTAACCGGCAGGCTCCTCGTCCACGGCACACAATAGAACCCGGTCGTTTCGGTCCACTGTGGGCCTCCGTTCAGGGAGCTGAGTCACGCCTGAGTCACCTGCGGCCCTGCGGTAAAATCCTAGCTGCACCCCACGACAGAATAACAAAGCTGGTCCCGAACAAGAATCATCTCTTCTCGGGTGTCTGTCCTCTGGACACCTCCGCCTACATTAGCTAGAGGCCAATTGGAAAAACCACCAAACTAATGCAAATCGGCTCAGTCTCAGAGATGCATCCAGGGGGGTCAGGGGTGTTCCCTACAAAGAAGGATCCACTGAGGTCACCTCACACTCCCCTTCAAGCCCCCCACTGGGCGCCTTCCGGGGGTCACAGGTGTGACGCACCCATGGGGCCCAGCTTCCTGAACCTCAGAATAGGTGTCCCTTCTTCAAATGCCAAAGCAAGCAACAGCAGGAGACACTCCCCATCCAACGAGCAAACGGCCCCCTTATGCCTCAACCGCTGCACAAAACCACATTATACAAAAGGATGCTCTCGTGCCTGTTGGGGACAGCACACACTGTTAAAAGTTAACAGAGTAGATTTAAACAGCAGTTCAACACAAACAGTATAAGGCGATCAGACAAATGGTATATACAGTGATGAGAGAGAGAAAGAGAGAGAGAGAGAGAGAGAGAGAGAGAGAGAGAACGAACCCCTCAGGAGAGGCACTGTCCGCAGCATCCAAGTTTCTTTTTCAATGAATGCTTCATTGTCCCGACAGACTTTTTAGGGCAGGAACTGGGTGTGGTCCTTTATTATTATTTTTAAAATCTAGCTGGTATCATACAAAGAAATTGTTCCGATATATTTTGAGTTCCAAAGGCCAAATGAGTAAGAGGCAACGTAAGAGTGAGAGAGCTGGAGAGCCTGCACCTGGACAAAACCCCGCAGGTCCAGGTGTGCAAAACGAGCCACGCCTAACAGGACAGACGGGTCCAGGCCTCTCCAGGAGGGAGTGTGCAAAGGCCACTGGCTGAGGTTTAGGGAACTGGCCCAGTCGGTCTGTGAAATGGGGATAATACATGAGCAGGTTGCCGCCAGGAGGAAGTGTGTAAGTTCCCAGCACCATGCCCAGCCGTGATGAGCACTTCGTGGTAACAGTGACAGGTGCCAGGATTTCTTTCCCGGTATCCAAGGAGCTGATATGTGGAGAGGGACTCCATTTGTGTAAATCCAAAGGACAAAACCAGGACCAAAATAGTCAGAAATATCAGAAAGCCAGGTTTCACTCAACCCAGGGAAACCATGTTCAAATGGTTTCCCAACTGGGTCATCTTGGAAAGAGCAGAGTTCTCACACTTAAGACTGTTTGATCCAATACTGGAAGCTCATTACTCAAGAACATTCTAGAACAGACCTGGGCTTTAGCTGGGAGGCCAGACATCATGATCGTTTATGCTGTGTGGTGGGAAACTCGAAGAAGGAACACTAAACTCGTCCCTAGAAAACCCAGCTCAAGGGCTGGAATGAGGTCAGGTGCGGCGTCCTGCCAGGAAGGCCCCTTGGAAGGCAATGACCTTAAAGGGAACCTGACACTGGGTCTCAAGCCACACACGAACCAACAATAATAAAGACCGCGCTTTGTTTCATCTTCCAATTCGGCTCTTACTTGGAAATATTTATCTAACTAACGTCCACTGGCCGGCCATCGCCCTGCCCGCTCCTCTCAGCCCTTCTCAGGTACTCACTCTCCCCGCTGTTCTGTCCTGGCGTGAACTTCCAGACATCAGCAGCCACAGCTGCGAGCTTGCAGAGCCCTCCAAACATTTTTCTCTCTGATCACATTTCTGCACTATCCCCCCTCATGCACACACACATCCCCCATTGATGCCTGAGGACTGGCCATCATCTATTCTATACACACAGACCAATGCCTGGAGATGGTCACCCAGAGCAAGTCCTTTCCTCCTCCTCCCTGGCTCGCCTCTAACAAGAGCAAAAGCCTGTCTTTGAGTCACTTCCCTTCTTCCCACGCCAGTTTACAATCCAAGTGACTGCCCGCACCCTCCCCAGAAAACCATGACTGCCTTTCTCCCCAGGCGCTTCTGCCGCTGCCTGTGACATTTCCCCCGTGTTCCAGTTCCTCTTCTAACCACTGTCCGGGGTGAGGACAAGCCAGGCCCCAGGCTGCCTGACCTCAGACTCCTCCTAGACGGTCTCCCAAAACTGCTTGTGTGATCAGCCCCGGCCTCTGCTAGGCTCGGGGATGGTACATGGAGTTGGATGTCGCCTTCCTTATACCAGGGCCCATCGCCCTGGGGACTTGCAAGCCAGAGCTCCCCAAGATGGCCTGCGGTGCTCCCCTACCCCGAGCCGAGCCGAAGGGGCTCACCAAGCCCAGCCCAGGGCAGATCTCAGCTCTTAGGTCCTGACACCTTTGTACCCCAAGCCCCGACGCCACCTGATGTTCTGGGGCAGACCCCACCTCAGGGCAGGTATCCTGGAGAGTAAGGAGGGGCCCAGCGAGTGTGGGAAGGGGGACCCCTCTGGGGGTCCAGAGCAGTGGGAGAGAACAGAGGTGGGAAAGCCCTGAGGGCCTTGAATGCCCCTCCAGACCCCTCTCCCCCTTCCTCCCCAGCAGGCACAGCTTCCAAGCCTTAAGTAACTCAAACCGACCATAAATCAACCCGCTCACCTTGCCTTTCTGCTTCCAGGCCCAAGGCTTAGACTTGAGAGGCAGTTCCCAAACCGAGAATTTTCTGGAAGGTTTAGAGAAAGACTCGCTGCTCCGAGAGTCTAATGCAGTAACTGAACCAAGGCAATGACCCCATACTGTTACAGAGCTCCCCCAGGACTCCGTCACCAGCCCGGGTCCTGGTCTACGCTTCCTGGTGGACCGCCCTCCCTCTCCCGCCCCAGGCTGGACCCAGAGGCAGTCAGTGCGCCCGGAAGAGGACGATTATCACGGGCATGCTGTCCTGTGCATGTGA